CTGCGTGACGGAGCCGAAGGAAGGCCGAAGTCAGGGGGTGTCCAAACGACGGCCCGGGGGCCATTTGCGGCCCGTGACGTGACAATCTCACACACAGGCACACACAAATAGCTATTATAAAATGACATTTGACATGGCCTGCACGGTGAGTTAAAAAAACGGTGAAGGTGGGCAGAGTGAGAAGGGACGAGGTGCCTTTACAACCGAGACATTCGTTTAAATACTGTCGAACGTTTCTCGATATTCCAAGATACAAACAAAGCATTTTGGTTAAGCGTGACGGAGCCGAAGGAAGGCCGAAGTCAGGGGGTGTCCAAACGACGGCCCGGGGGCCATTTGCGGCCGTTCAGCGCGGCGCCGGAGCTATCCTGCTTGAGAAAAGGGCTGTTGCCCACCCCAAAAACTGCCCACCCCAACTATTTGCCGTAACAGCCTCAACGGAAAGCGGAGGAGGATACAAACGATCTCGAATCGCTTTCTTGACCGATTTCAGCGCGTTTCAAAAAGTCCGTCCATTCCATTTTTTTCTGCGTGCGGCCCCTCAGAAGAAAACGTTCAGACACCCCCTGGCCGAAGTCAACTTGTACAATCTTGCCGAGGGGTTGCAAGAAATGGCCGCACGTTAGCCACAAGCACACTCAGGAGATCATCGGTTTGAACGGAAAATGAATTGTCGTGGGAAATTTGAGAGGAGTCGCCAACCATTTGAAATGCAAGAAGTGTCGCTATCATCGTTTGTGGGTTTGGTTCCACTTAAAAAAAAAAAAAAGTAGTCGTTGGTATTTGTACATGCGGTATCAATATAATCGCTTTCGCTACACCTTATGAATGACGGTGTGAAAATATTATCCTTCTTGCCTGGCATCCGTCATGGTGGCGATGTCAGCGCCCAGGAAGTGCGGGCGCGGCAGCGTGCAGAGGAAGTGCAGCGTGTGCGGGCTGAAGGCGCGCACGGCGCCGTCCGAGCAGCCGCAGAAGATCAGCTCCTCCGTCACGCACAAGCACGTGGCCTGAGACGCCTGCGGGCACACGCGCGCCTAGGGTGAGGTCACGTGACACGGCAAGAACGAGGACGCGAGTCGGCCGAGCGGCGGCCCGCGATGTGCCGGAATGACCGATGACAGGGAGCGACGGATGATGTCACACAGCGGGAAACATGACCCCGCCCCCCAAATTTCAATTCAATATTTAAGTTGATGCGTTTGAACATGAAATATCTTGTCATTGGCGGAACATGATTTGCAAACTCCGTTTTGATCGACGTCGATCACAACGTGCCGACTTGATCGCAATCGGGTTTGTCGAAGTGCAAAACGTAAGCCATGAAAACAAAATGAAGAGAAATGCGACGCATGAACGAAAGCATGAACGTTGGGTCTCGATCGTCTTGACTTACACGGGCAGAGTCGACCCTCTGCCCGGGAAGCAGAAGAAGAAGGAAGGAGAGAGAAGCCTTGCGATTAGCACGTGAGCGCATCCGCTCGACACGCGCGGGAACAAACGTGCGGACTCACGCGTAGCTCCACCCACTTGTGGAGCATGCGGCGCTGGTCCAGCTGCACCAGGAGGCCCGAGGTGCTGATGCAGAAGGTGGAGGACGCCTGCGGTCCTCGGCCGCACGCCACGTCGCAAAAAAAGTTGTTCTTCAGTTCTCCCAGCAGCCCCGAACGCCCCAGCAGCGGCACGGCAGCGCTGACCTGCGCGCGGGCGCGGACGCAGACAGAGACGCGGTGGTCGTACTCGTTCCCACCAATTGGGCGGGTGGCGCGACTTGAGCGGCTCGCGGTGTCACCTTGGAGGTCCTGCTGTGGTCCAGGTACCAGAACTTGACGTGTCGATTCCCCGCCGTCACAAAGTAGGACGAGTCGTGCGAGAAGGACACGGCCGTCACCTTACTCGACACCTTGTTGGCCGCCACCACCACGCCTTTCTACACACACACACGGGAAGTCAATGTGGGACGAGCGCTTTCTCTCTGGACTGGTCCCTCCTATGAGAACTAAGAACCTTCGCTTGCTACGAGAGCCTCATCCCGGGAATATAACCTTCTCCAAGGGAGAAGTAGGCTTCTCTCAGGATTTCAACTTTCGACTAGGTGTTGGTGCTTACTTCCAAAAGAGCACGATTAGGAAGGAGTAAAAACGTGTCGTCATGAGATCACGAGTGCCTTACTTTCCAGTTCCACACGTGCACCAACATATCGTGCTGGTAGCCGACGCTGACGATGTACTTCATGTTGGGGGAGAAGGCCACGCAGGCCACGCCGTATTTGTGCTCCTGGAGGGACGCCACCTGCACGCCGCTCGGGACCTCCCACACGCGCACGGCCGGCATATGGCCGCTCTGAGGACCACACGGCGCCGGGAGTCACGCGAGCCGATGCGCGAAAGGACCGCAGGTCAGATGAACAGCATCGCGCCAGGCGGGACTCACCTCGCCAGTGACGACATGCTTGCCATCGGGTGAGAAGGCCAACGTGGTAATGGTCTTCCTGCAAAATCGCACGCGCGGCCTGTTACCATGGCAACGGCACCAACCCCCCACCCCCCCCCAATGACGAGCTTACCTCGATGCGTTGAAGATGTGACGTTGCTTGTTCTTGCGAGGATGCAGCAGGACCACAACACACCTGCACAACACAAAACACGAATACGACTGGGATAAAATTCGGTTCACAACATGTCAATCGCAATGCTAATAATGTGCATGTCATCATCTGAGTGAGTTAAGTTGTGAGTGTTTTCAGAAGAAGACATCGTCTTCATCACGCTAGCTGGAGTTGGACGCTAAGCACGCAGCCGCGCAGCCTCAGCCCCCCCCTCGTTCCCCTCTCGCCCCCTTTCCTCCTTGACTGTGGCTGCAGCGGCCCACTGATCAGATAAGCTCCTCGTCCGCCTGCACCCGATTGGCCGGTTGGCCGCTGCGGGGGAGGATGAGCTGTACGGACTAAAACATTCCTGGCATTCCCCGAGGCTGCGATTACACCCCCAATGACACAATTGACTTTTGTTCGCTTGCGTGGATCGCATCAAGTCATCACGTCAACTAGACTAACTGGCGCGGTGACATGTACAGTATACCGGGATGTCATTTACGCACACACACGACGTATACCTTGAAAACAAATCTTTTACAATGACTTTCAGACCCCCAAAGCCTCTCTTTTAGTCACAACATCATCACGTGAGGGAAGATTTAAAAAATAAATAATAATAATAATAATAATAAATAAAAAAAGCCTTCTTTTAGTCACAACATCATCATCACGTGAGGGAAGATTAAAAAAAATAAAAATAAATAAACAATAATAATAAATAGCCAGAAAGCCCTCACAAAAGCCTATAAATTGACATGTGACTCGATGTGATACGCAAATTTTCATCTTCTTGGTGGTGATCATGTCCCAGTTCTTAAAAACAAGGTCAATGGCCCCCAAAAAGGAATCAATTGAGCATTTATTGCTTGTCTCTATGTCCACCAAGCTAGGAGACAATCGAATCAAATGTGCAGGAAAAAAAATAAAACGTGTTACGCACATTTGACATTGCTGTAACCTTGACATTTGACTTAGGCCTGAAGGCTTTGATCTGCGAAAAGCTATGAAATCTCTCCATTAATAAAAAGAAAGGGGAAAAAAAGCTCCCTGGTAGAAATCAACTGTTTCGGTCCAGACGTGTGGCAAATAAACAACCTTGATCGTTGACATTAGCAACATCGCTAGCATTAGCCAAATGCAGACCCCCGTCCACAGGAAGTGACAAAGTTGCTACTCCCTGCTTTAACCGTGACGCTAATTTGACAAGTCGCTCACCCGGCGGGATACGCCAAGAGTCCACTCTTTGGGTCACACGACAGTGCACGGTTGCCGGGCGCCGTGATGCCCAGAACCTTCTCCAAGGTCACCTGCTCGGGAAAAGAAAATGGAGTCACATGTTAGCATCTGCTAGCTTGTTGGCAAGTCACGGGACCCTCTCCCACACCACTTGAGACTGGAGGAACTGCCGAGACTTGACAGACGAGTTAGTGGCGTTAATGTAGAGCAAACATCTATAGGTGCTGTGACACACTCGCTAGCAGGCAAATCTTTGTCACCATTGGCAAAGCAGTTCACATCTGTTAGCATACAATTATCATTTGCTCTGAAATACGCACAAAACAAGATGGCTGCTGTCAACCATGTGCCAAATGACCACGAGACAAATCACCATGTAACAAATAACCAAATGCTGAGTAACCATTGCAGTGTCCAAATACACAGGCCGGTTCCTCCGGAGGCCGCATGACTTCACTTCCGGCGTGACTCGACCGGACGTGGTTTCCAAGGACCACATAAACTGTAGTGAATTTGGACAGGCTGAATGCGAATCAAACAACAGGTCACGTAACACGGGGTGCCAAAGGCAATGTGCAAAATGACCACAACTCTCATGAACATGTGACAAACAACCGGTCATCTGACCACGTGCCACACGACCACATCAATTGACCGTGTGGTAAAGGTTCAAGCAAATTGTTGTTTGACTTTCAAATTTCAAGTCACATCAGTCAAATGACATGTCACATAACCAGATGTTGTTGTCCACATGTCAACCGACAAGTCAATTGACTATGTGGTAAATGACCACAAGTCAATTTTACAGTCACATTGTCAACTTTCCAATTACAAGTCCCGTTATTCATCCGACATGTCACGTGACCATCTGTAAATGACCATGTATTAAATTACACATCAGTTGCCCGTGTGGTGAACGATAAGTCGGTTTTTGATTCAAATGACGTGTCAAATTCTTCTTGGCTTTCCAACTACAGGTCACCTCAGTCTGACCACATGTCACATTTGTGAATCACCACGAGTCAAATGACGTGTCTCGCGTCCGTGCGACAAATAGGCATGTGGTAAATGCCCATGGACCAAATGACCGCACACACTCAAGAGTGGAACGTTAGCCGCTCTTTCCGTTTGCCGCCATGGGCACGCCGGCGAGAAATACAGTGAGTGGCTCAGTGGCGAAATGAATTCAACTCGCAAGTCAAGATACCAATACAGGATAATGTAACCCATAAATGTATCACGTGTTTGAAATGCACAAGCAGCACGATATTATAAAGGCGCTAAACGCTAATAATCGTAAGTGAAAATTGAAAGAACAAGGCTGTCGACTTCTCGGCGCGCACCTTGTCGCCCAGCTGATGACGTGTTGCTCGGCCCCGCCCCCGAAGCTTGATTGACGGGGATCTGAGCAGGTTCTTGATGCGGCGACTGATGGCACCTCCTCCTGCGCCGTCGCCGCTCATAGCTTCGGTGCTAGCGGCTAGCTCCCTGCGGCATGACGTCTGCGAGTACGACCTCGCTCAGCCGAGCCGAACTGAAGCCTCACCCAAGAGTTCTCCTCGTGCGTGTGGACCGGTCCGGGTCGCCGGCTGCGGTTCCGCATCGCAGCGTGGCGCCGCGGAGAAGAAGAGAAGCGACTCCCGGTCACGAGCACACGCCTTCACGCACACACATTTGCAGACGCAGCGGATCACGCGGCACAAGTGTTTCCGGTCTTCCCTTGCAAAGTAAAACAACTTGAAGGAAGTTGCACCTTTGTTTTCTGACAGATAACAGATCACCATGCCGCCCCGTTCGACTATTTTTTAAAAATGGCTATACTTCAAGAAATGAAAATAGAGTTTTCATCAATATGGTTCTTTCTTTACTCTTTTTGTCAACATGTGCTCTGACATTGACTGGCGACCAGTGGATTTTCAATATGCCCTGCGATTCATTGGCGATGACTCAGTTCACCGATACATGCCATGGCAATTCCTGGCGACCACGTCATTGTCTATACAGACCTTAACATTGACTGGTGACGTGTCCATTGAACGTACCGACCTGGACTGGTGCCCAGTCGATTTTGTCTGCTCACCCTGCGATTGGCTGGTCAACAGTCTATCGTTTGTATGTCCTGACCCTCCAGCGACCAGTCAATTGGTTGTTTGCTGCCTGCTATTCGGCTATGTCGTCCGGGCCCTACGACTGACTGATGGCCAATCCATTGTCTAGATCCCTTGACATTTACTGGCGACCAGTCCATTGTTTGCCAATACATCCCAGAGTCAACTGGGATAAACTCCGGCTCAACAGAGACCCCGATGAGGACAAACAATCTCGAAAATGGATGAAAGAAAAGAAACAATCTAATGCGCTCATGATGCTAGCATAGAGGTCCAAGGGTAAAACAGGTGTCGTCGGACTTTATTTAAATTAGTGTTGCAGATGTCTGTTATGCAATTACAACGTAGAAAAATAAAAAATTCGGGGACAAACAAAAGTTTCATTGAGAGGTTCCAAAGTCAACGGCAAAGCGTCCGCTGAGGCGTCCTCACGTGGGCGGGGCCCCTCGCAGGCCCAGCGGGACCAACCTGGGCATGGGCCGCCACGACACGCCCTCCGCCGCCGGCGCCTGCGGTGCCGGCGCCTGGGCGGGGGGCGGGCAATCCACCGGACCCCCGCCCGCTTTCATGTGCAGCAGCGGGGGAGGGGCCAGCGCGTGGCCATTCAGCCCCGAACCCTCGTCCTTGGGGGCGGGTTGACGCTCCAAAGGTGACGCTGACGGCGATACCGTCGGGCTGACGGCAGGCGCCGTGGGAATGGAGGATGAGGGGGACGGAGACTCAGGTAGCGGCGCTGGCAGCGGCGTCGCGGCAGGAGTCAATGGGAACGAGCTGTTCAGGGCGTCAACTGCAGACGACAGACTGAGACTTTAGTATGTGTGTGCGCGTGCGTGTGACTGCAACTAGAAATTATGTTCATAATCAATTACTCTCCATTTTTCGATTCAACTATTTGTCAGACATTTCGACCAATTCAAATTGACAGTGCGGAAATGAATCGATTCATTGTTGCACTTCCACCCCATATTCGATTTCGATTCCGTTTCTGTGATCATTGTAACGTGTTCAGTTCATCGCAATGCACGGGTTAGCAAATTTTCATTTTATTGCGGTGATATTTCACAATATGTATCACAACCGATAGGTATGTAACAAAGAGAAAAAAATTTACATTTGAGCAAATGTTCAATAAACAGCAACATAAAAAAATCAGGACGAAACACCGTTCTCAAACCGCAAGGCATTCTGCGGCTGCTGTGTAGACTTGTGCTCCAATTAGAAACACGCAAGAGGAAATTTTCGAGCACAAAACGTGGGTTTGGAGTGCACAAGAGCCTATTCTACAGAGTGCTCGTCGTTTGACTCCAAGAAGAAGAAGCTAGAGAACCCGCTGCGTGCCGTCATGCCTGTGGCATAACTTGGTGCAAAAGAAATGAGCAGTTGCCTCAGTGCAAGACTTGCCATCACTGTGCGATCAATACCTGGTGATGCTTCTCGGCCATCCCCACTACTTAGTTGCGTCACATGCCAATATTTGCGGACCCGATTGTAAAAGGGGGGGGGGGGTAGAAGGCTATTGAAGAAAGCATACCTGTTGTTGCTGAAGAAGACGTGGGCAGCAGCGTATAATCCGTCATCAGCGGGGTGAGAGTCAGGAAGGGTTGCCCTGGCAACACGCTCCCGACCACCGATAGAAGCTCAGCGGGCAGGATGGCCCGGAAGCCGTCGGGGTCGCCTGCAACCGCGGCGGACAGTCACGAACGGAGCTTCTTTGAGCGCATTTTTTCAAGGACCTGTACTTGAGTTTCGGGCTGAAGCGAGTCCTGGAATAATTTGGGTACCTCGATTTAAAAACCAAAAAAAAAAATGCTCCAGGCTTCTTTGCATGTACACTGCCAAGTGTTCGTAGTCAAGCTACCTACAGCAACAATTGTTCATGCGGTGCATGACATGAACACGGCGCCAATGCGGAAGGAAGGCTAACTTCAAAATAAACCTGATCTGACCTCAATATATGGACGTCAATGCTGAGGCAACACATTTTTGTTGAAGTTGTTTCCGGCGTGCGTCATAAATGTGACAAAGCGCAACAGGGATGCTGAATGTATGATGCGGACACGGTTTCATTCGTGTTGGCGACTGTGGCTCTCCTTGCCCACAAGCGAGGGCATTGCAGTATCTTAACTCATTCAGTACCAGCCAATTCTGGACCAAGTCTGAAAAGACATTTAAAAACATCTTTGGGAGTGAATGAGTTAATTGCTCCCTTTCAATGTTTCTGCTTCACATGATCAGCGGTGTATTTGCTACTCACTCGAAACTCCAACTCCCGCGTACATTCGCACACAGGAAAAATCGCCGGTTCTAACTGTCCCGAGCTACTTACCACTCACGGCGGGCACGGGGGGGAGGCTCTTGCACCGAGACAGGATGTTGGGCACCGTCTTGGATCGATTCCTCATCACTGGCGGCGAGTGGGAGGCGATGGGCGTGGCCAACTTTGGCCAATTGACAGCTGCGGCTCTAGGCGAGGGAGGGGCCGGGGCGACTGTGATGGGCGTGGGAGGAGGAGCTTGTTCCTTCGGCAGCTTCTGAGTGGAGGAAACAAATACGACGTTGTCGCCCGAAGAGGCTGGCGACCGCCGAAGGGCCGCCTGGCGCCCGGGGCCGGCGGTTCCTGCGGCGACGGCGGGCCCGGTCAGTGCGGAGGAGGGCGGGGATGCGGGACGGGGCTCGTGGGGAGGCGAGGCGGAGAGCCGGAAGATGCCGGCGGCGGCTGTT